TTTTAAAGAAAAAATGTTAATGAAATACTCCGGGGAATTAAAATGATACACCTATCGAATGACAGTCATGGAATCCGCCCGATAGAGAACGGAGTTACCATGACCTTGGTTTCTAGTTCACAGCAGGAGATTCCACTACACTGTATAGCGGTGTTTGGATAGAGATCAAGACAGACTCAATCAATCAACCAAAGAAGGCGACGTATTCACTGCAGTCCATTATTGAAGTTGAATAATCAGGAAACGAGAAAGTCCCCACTAATTTAAATGGGTAAACTGGCGTTCTCGCTATTATTATCAGCTAGACACCGATGTGTTTTAAATCAGTGCATTTACACTCAAATACGATCTGACAATTTTTGTATTAACTACTAACATATATATGACAGCCTCTTTTTTATTTTAGTCTTTTTATGTTCACATAATATTATTTATTTCCTGTCCGTGGAATGTAAATACATTACGAGTTCATTGAGAGTGTTCGTATTCAACTACAATCGACGGAGTTGCGCGTGCGTACATCAACGTAATTTCGCTGAGTTCCGGAATGTACGAATTAACGAACAAAAAGACTTAACCACAGGCAATTGAAAGCGCACTTAATATTAGACTGCGCATATTTGAATATCGTGACAATAGCGTTGTTGTTCGTGATTTTAGCAGAATGGGCGTGTTATTATTTACCGAAACGGGTTTGACAATTCGATCGATGAACGCTTTAATTCCGGTTTTAATCAAAACTCGACTTGTACGAAAACACCGACGCAGGTACGAGAATTTGTAGCGGTGGGGAATTCTGCGTAATGGCATATAGATGAAAGTATTGCGTGTGATGGCATGCAGATGCAAGTATCGACTCATTCATCTTAATGGGATGCGCCTCAAGTAAGCCAGATTTCAGAGTCTATTTAAATATAGCATACGATTAATTGGTTGGATACGTCGAGTTCTACTCATCGGAGATATTACGATGTCATCAGCTTGGATTGTTACTATTGATTTGCACCTGCGCGTATACAAAATAATTACAATTTCGTACTCCTCATCTGCATATTAAGTTGTTTTAGGCATTTCTGATTTCGAATGACATTATTCGTTGCCTCATTTTGGCAATAAGTGTTATTCTTGTTAGCTGTATTTTGAACGTCCAACGGAAATCACCGTTGAGCCATGCACGCCACTCGCGGTCTCCACCCCTTCCATCCCTACAGGCGCCACTTACAACTTCGAGAAATGTAACGCGACGATTCATTGCTATGGTTACGCACAACTTGATGAGTTTTTAATTATTGTAAATTAATGAAGTTATAAGAGCGATTTTGTTTATTACAGTTCCTTCCCGTTGCCGTACGTGATCCTTATCACTTTGATTATGGTTAGGATTACTCCGCATGTTCGTGAACTTTGGCGATTCTCAGTTCTCCTTGCGCAACGACGCTAAGAAAGAAACTTTGTTGTAGAAAACTACATTTCTTTCCCATCACTGCCTACATCAGTATTTTCTAGATATATTCTTCGTATTGTATATGGCATTTGGTTGTTATATATCTCATATTTTGTGTGCTGAACAGATTTATACAAATTATGCTATATTTGATTTGCTCTGACTCACGGCAAAATATTTGACTCCCCAAGTGAGCAATTTGTTTTGCAATAAAATTGTCTGTTTGACATTAACCGTACTACGCATTGTTGGCATCATGATTATTTGAATTTGTGTCGCAAACTGACTTTTGGGAATGAGAGGAGATTGCTGACGCTGAACTGAAACATACTACAATGCATATGGCGTCTTAGTATTTAACTCGCTGCCAATAACACCGATTCACAACTGATTCAACTACGCACGAAGTACGCTCTGCATCCCTCTTTTTCAAGTGGAATGACCCAATCGTCTCGCTGATCAAGTAACTTAAAACGCTCTGTGAACTACGTTTCACAGCGTTCTACAAAAGATGACATAACATATAAGACACTTCTTCGAACATAATGGTGTTCAAACAGTCAGGCCTAATTATTCACAAGTGACCGCGCATGCGTTTGACATGCGCTGTGCACACCAGTGGTTGCGTCAATGAATCCAAATAAGGCATCGTCTATGGGAACATAGATATCGTGTAGACGATTTATAATGAATTAACCCCTCAAAAAAATCACACAACTATTAATATTAGTCGGAGAAATGCGAGAAACATTCTTTGAATCTTAAAAAATCGCAATTTAAGTGAACAAACCCCAAGAGCACGCGTACGAAAATGGCGGGAAAGCGCAACTAATAACAGACATTAATTTGTACTGACAGTAGTATATAATTAGCAATATCGCCGCTCATTAAATTTATAATGACATCCTTTTAAAATATACATGTAAATGACTAATTGTTTATTATAGGCGGCATGCTCAATGTCCCTGGATTTGGGTTTCAATGGGCGACAAGTATTAATGTTTGTACAAGAATATACGTCATAGAGATGTTGACCCCTGAACTCTTCTATCAATTCTCGCGTGAAAGTGACTTACATCCATAATTCAGCTCGGCCCCGTGATCTGTGCATTTCATTCAAACTGACAGTTTTACTCAACTCGCTAGGCGTCGAGGAAAAACACGAGTATTTCTATATTATGGCGTTTCCCGAAATGTATTTCCTCTGCATACGTCCGTATACACTACATCCAAAAAATTGAACATAATCTCATTATTATTCCTTTAAAAGTCTCCCACGCATGGTGCGATTGTGTGAAGGATATGGTAAATAGGTCTGGGTTGCCAGAAAATATAACATTTGTAATGCTTTCAAAAATGTAATGTAACCGGAAAAAATACGTTACTAATAATTATATTGGACATTCACTAAAAGTTACCAATATTTTACTATGGTATTGTCAATATTTTTTTGAAGCTTGGGTCACGATTACACAATAATAAACAGTACGGTAAAATGAAACATATAAAATACACGCCGTACAATACATAATATTTTAATCAGGCTGGTTTTGAGTCATAGTGACGAGTTCACAAACGTGCACGTGGGTATGAACATTTCATTTAGCCTGGTTATCCTCCTTGTGTTTTGTAGGTCTACAGGTCCTTTTCAAAATAAGGCCCGGGCAAAATAGCCAAAGGTAACCAAGCTACATTTCACATTTCATTAACTAAAAGCCTTGTGCAATACATGTGGAGACATTCAGTAGTGTAGAATGAAGTAACTTGTGGCAGTATTAAAAGAAAATCTATATTTTTGGGCTGTTAGAAACTTTTTTCTATAAACAAAACCGTGACCCGATAAACACACAGTTGTAATGTATACCGTCGTATATTTCAAATATATTGGCATTTTTTCATGTTGCGATCTTTAAGTCTGCCAGCTGAATATGCAAATTATCTAGTTGACATGCAAACTCGAATTGTATTCTTACACATCTGATCCATGGATAAGAGACTTTGACAATTGTATATCAGCG